GCAGGGCCTGGACCTCAGGAAGCCAAAGAGGCTGTGGGTGGGATTGAGTCTTTGTGAGGCCAGAGAGACGTGAAGCCTCTGTCGCCCACAGCCTTCTCATTCCCTTCCACTCGGAAAAGCACAAGACCTCCTGGTGCTTTCCCATCCCCTACACTCCAGCTTCTCTCGTGGCAGTTGGTCCTAATCTCCCAGGCTCTTTCTAACTTTCTGTGGTTTTGAGACCTGAGGGAGCATTTAGAGACAGGGAGCTCAGGTACCTAACTATTCTACAGAAGAAAACGGCCTCGCCACAGCACAGGACATGTGTGAAAAGCCCACGGCTAACGGTAGAACACTCCTAAACTATTGTAGACACAGAAGGAAATGACCTCACTCCAATGTGGGCCGTATGTGAAAGGCCCACGGTGACCATCACACTCAGCAGGGGACAACAGAAACCTGCCCTCTAAGGTCAGGAAAAATGCAAGGATGCCCATTCTCACCCCTTCCGTTCACCATAATACGAGTGTTCTTCCAGAGCATTCAGGCAAGTAAAAGATACAAAGCTACTCAATTTGGAAAGAGAAAGCAAATTTACCTGTTTGCAGATGACATCATCTTTTACATAGGAAAAATCTAGAGTCCACACACACACACACACACACACACAAACACACAGACACACATATAGAAACACACGAACACACAAACACACACACAAACACACACAAACACCCTTTAGAGCTAATAAACAAATACAGCAAACTTGCAGGATACAAAACAATGCACCAAAAAAGTGGTGTTTCTCTGAATAATGAACAATTCAAAAAGGAAATTAAGGGAACAATCCCATTTACAATAGCATCAAAAAGAACAATACTTAAAAATAAACTTAACCAAGGAGGCCAAAGACTTGCCCACTGAAAACTCTAAAATATTGCTGAAAGAAACTAAAGAAAACCCAAATAAATGAAAGCCATCCCCTGTACATGGAATAGAACATTTAATATAGGTTAAATGTCTACATTACTGAAAGTGACCTACAGATTCAATACAATCCCTATCAAAATTTGACTGGCATTTTTTGCCAGTGGAAATAGAAAAAAAAAAAAAAGCCCAATACTCCTACGGAATCTCAAAGGACTAAGAGTGGCCAGTACAACCGTGGAAAAGAAAACCAAGGCTGAAAACCTCATACTTCCTGACTTCAAAACATATTACAAAGCTACAATAATCAAATCACTTTGGTACAGTCTTAGAAGCCAGTGGAACTAAGAATCAAGAACCCAGAAATAAGCCCTCCTGTTTATGGTCAAATGGTTTCCAAATGGGTGCCAAGGCTACATTATGGGGGAGAGTTAGGCTTTTCACCAAGTGATGCTGGGAAAAGTGAATACAAAACAGCAAAATTGAACCCTCTCTCACATCACACACAAAAATAAACTCAAAATGAATTAGAGACCTGAATATAAGACCTGAAACTAGGGAACAGCAGATGGCATAATGGCTATGTCGCTGGACTCCCATGTAGTCGACCACGGTTTGAGTCCTGGACCCGGTGGCTTAAACGCACACCAGGCACATGTGCATGCGTGTCCAAGGCCCAGTAGGAGAATGGAGGAAAAGGGATTGTGGTATGGCCATCCCCCCGGGGGTGATTTCTCGCTTTCTGTCTCTGTCTCTCTTTTTCTGGTGAGTGCATGTGCCCTATAGCAAAAACAAACAAACAAACAAACAAACAAACAAAAACACCTCTCCAAGACCTGAAACTGTAGAGGTCCTAGAAGACACAGGGCAAGAGCATTGTGACACTGGATCTGACAGTGATTTCTGGGATATGACGCCAAAGTGACTACAACAAAGACAAACTGGAAAGAGATGACATCAGGGTTTAGAACTGCACGGCAAAGGAAACAAGGCCACTGGACAATTCCTCTGGTCACCTCTGATGGCCCCTGGAGCTTCACCTCCCTCCCAGACGCCTTTTCTGAGCCCCAGGACCACTTACCCCACTGTCTGGCATCTCCTCTGGCAACCTCTTGGTCCAGTGGACCCAAAGCGAGGTCATGGTCTTTTCTTCTGTAATCCTGGGCATTATTATGTGTGTACGTGTGTACGTGTGTGTGTGTGTGTGCGCGCATGCACACAGTACTACCCGTCTGATGATACTGTCTAGACCAGTAGTCCTCAAACTTGTCTGCAAATTGGAATCACTGAGACTCTTTAAAAAATGCCGATGTTGGACAGTGGCACAACTGTGAAAGGTGACGCCCTGCAAGATGGATCCGCGTGGGAATGACAGTCAGTGCACGGACTGTCTCCCTCCCTCCCTCTCTACCATCTCGGGCAAGTGCACGCACCCTTTGGCAATTAATTCATTAATTTAAAAGAACTTTCCCTCCTGACTTTCCCAGTTATTAGCCCCATGAGCGACGGCTTTCTCAGTTTCCTCATGTCTCCCTACTGAGCGATAACCGCAGTATTCCTGATGCAGGGCAAGCGCTCAGTAGAGGCACCAGCAGGGGGAGCCAGTGGCTGGCAGGGCCATATGCTGAGGGGCAGTCGGCGGGCGGTCAATATGCCCCCTGGCCTCAACGTGGCGGTTCCAGGTGACTTCAGGGATTGAAGAAAGTAGATAGCAATGGGACGACGACGAGGGGCAGGGCGTGCTGGCGCACACTTTGGAAAACACACGAATGGAGCGTCCAGTCTTCAATGGCGCCCATGGGGCAGCCCTAAGATCCTGACGAGGTGGAGGGTCAGGGACAGGGGGTTGCACTGTGCTGAGACCCTGTCAAGGGTGCATCTCTCTCTCTCTCTCACACACACACACACACACACACACACGCACACACACACAATGTGCATGTTCTCTATCATGAATAAAATAAATAAGCCCAGAAAAGAAAGGAAGAGTTGAAAGCCTGCGACATCGCTGTAAACTAGTCTTGACAGCTGGCTGCCAGAGACGGGCCGCGGAGTGAGGTGGCTTCTACCTGGGAGAACGCCAGGAGAACTAGATCAAAAAGGCAATTGTAGTGAGCCCCCAGGCGATGCCGCCCACAGAGCCGCATTGCCTCCCGCTCTAAAAATAACTAAAAACCCTTTCTCCCTCTCCTCAGTGTCCGACCCTCGAAAAACAGTCTTTGACCACTGGGCAATGCCCAGCAGACACTCCACTGCACAGGTGCTTCTAGGACCCGTGTTCGTCCCTACCCCCGGGAGTGCCTCTCCGCCTAGTGCGCTTTGAAATGGCAGCTCCCAGACCAGCCTGGGCACAAAGGTGAGAGAAGGGGCCAGCATCCCGGAGGTGCCACTGTGCTTTGTCAACCCCGATGGCAGAGACAGAAAGAGACTAGGAATACTGTTTTCTGAGCTGCATGTGTTAAGAGCATCAGATGGCCAGAACACCGAGGAAGGAGATGGCTCCATTTCAGCCCCACAGAGACGCATTAGAGGAAAGCCTGATAAACCCTGAGAACAAAGCTAGAATCTGTGCCCAAGCACCTGCTCTCCAGCCGTGCATCTGTGGTGGGATTCAGCCAGCATCCAAGTGGGGCCCAGAGCCCAGGAGATACTACTGGACTCCTCTTCACCAGCCGTGCAGCCATGTCTCCTT